TACGGTGTTGCTTGATTATTTGCACAACAAAATTTTGTGTATTTTGTATTATTTGGCATCACAAATAAAACTTTCTCAGATTAGTTCAAGTTTAAAACATGCCATCAATAACACTTTTTCAATAACCCTGCATCCTCCAAGTATTGGATAGCAATTGTGATGGCACTGTTAATTATCAATGGATAGCTCAATTAAAAGTAGTGTCTATCCCAGAATAAATCTGGCTTGAAGTCGAACCAGGATCTTTCACATTTGAAAGCGAACATTTTAACCACTACCTAGATAATCCATGTTCTAGACGAAACTGTAAACGTAAAAGAAACTTATTGTCACTGTCTGGCAGCTTACAAATGTCGTGCACTACGAGAAGTTGCCAACTCTGGCATAGTGAGCCACTACTGCGATGGAGTACGTTATGCCAGACAAGTCACATGTTCACTGTCAAGATGAACGCCACGAGATCTTGGCGAATATCTCGGCTGTAGGTTACGGAACAGGACGTATTAATTATGCATGATGATATCAGCTTCCTAAACTTGGCAGAAAATCATTTCCTCTTTAGTGAATTGCTCTTGAAAACACCTTTGATAGTTTTGGCACAAACTTGATAAACGATTAATGAGATGATTTGTTTTTAGATTTTCATATTTCCTATGTTGTGTAAATATTGCAAATAGTTGTGGTAGTACTCATCTAACGTTCTTCTCATCATTTTGTTTTGGCTATCCTTGTGATTTGAACAAGCACTATTATGAAAGCTGTTAATGTATAAAGTCGATTATATACATGTCGATTTGAGTGAAGGTATAGTAGTAAATACTGTATAGGTGTTTATTTTTCATAGAATTGTGAGTTGTATTTACAGCTAAGAACAAACTTTCCTTCTTTCTGTACAAATACATCATTTTGAAAGAAATCAATATGTTGTAGTCCATTCACAAAATGTAGGCAGTTTTAGGAGAACTCCCCCAACACATTATTGCGTAATGTATCTCGCAGCTGATACAGGATGAATACAAATGTTTGTTTAAATTTAACCGTTACCTCGGCTATTGTTTTAAAGGCGGGTTGAAATGGAGGTGATTTCTTCCCCTAAAACCTAAATTTTGTGAATGGAGTGCAACATCTTTCACTAGAATATATCATAACATGTTAATGCATTAATTTGATTAAGCGACACCATGTCTGCTATGTAAGCATTTTATTTAACATTTTTAACACGTTTTTATTAGCTCGCTTTCTTGTCTGTTCGGTACAAATTTTGCAATCAATTTTAAACTTACTTCCCGATGAGCTAGACTTTAAACTTGAATAATAGCACCTAAATGGATTAAATTGCAATATTAAATTTATATTTTCATATTTCCCTTGGGCTACGCTCCATGGGCTTCCAAAGATTCAATGTTTACATTTTGAAATAATGTAAATAGTCAAATATATATTGAAGTCAGCTGTAATAGCTATTTACCTTACAAGTGTAGTAGGAGCGTTTTTACATCACGCAGATGAATGTTGTGCAACGAGCGGAAGCGAGTTGCATTATTCACCTAAGTGATGTAAACACGCTCCTGCGTAACGTATAACGTACAAGATTTTACCTGACCTGACAATATAGGCTACAGGGGGTTACATACAATATTTTTCATTATTCATTTCACTCAACTTTTAACAGTAACGTTCTTTTACAAATAAAAACTAGGTTGTAGGAACATTCTTTAAAGGATAACAATAAAATTCAAGCGCACAGCTGATTTCTAGCGTTAAACGTTGGCTCCATAGGAGGTATAATTTTTTAAGTTGAGCACTCAATGTTATTTAAATGGGTTTCATTACTTCCCCGAGTGAGTTTTTGAAACTTTACTTCACGAGTGATGTAAAGTTGAAAAAAAACTCACTCGGTGAGGTAATGAATCCCATTTAAATAACATTGAGTGCTTATAACTTAAAAAATATACCTCTATGGAGCCAACGACATTTAAAGCTAAAAATCAGCTGTGCGCTTGAATTTTATTGTTATACTTTGAAGAATTTTCCTAACCTAGCTTTTGTTTGTAAAAGAACGTTACTGTTAGAAGATGAGTGAAATGGATAATGAAAAATATTGTTAGTAACCTACTGTATATTGTCAGGTCAGGTAAAATCTTGTACGTTACACGTTACGCAAGAGCTTGTTTACATCACTTAGGACAATTATGCGACTCGCTTCCCCTAGCTGCACAACATTCATCTGCGTGATGTAAAAACGCTCTTCCTACACTTGTAATGTAAATAGCTATAATTTGACAGTTTGTTCAATGAGCACAGGTTAAGAGGTACAGGTTCTGCTCCCCGAGAGATTCTAATAAACAAATATTTCAAAGTAAAAGCAAAACATCTGATTACAGATAAAAAGGTTGGTTGTGTATCAACAGGCCATATAAAATAGATTTAACATATTTATTTTGTTTCAATAAATGATTAAATTTGATAAAACTGCACTACAGTGGTTCAAAATAGACTCATCTGGTAAGAATAGACAGAGTATTCTCTCACGTGTTTGCTGATGTAAGCATTGGTGGTTTACAGTCAGGCGGTGAGGTTATTTTAGTGAACTAATCCATTCAAATCCCGCCGACAGAAATAGAAAATTCTGGTTTGCGGACTGCATATATATTTTAAGATATTTCGGTTGTGGATACTTTAAAATATATTAAAGGTTGAAAATGCAATAAAAAAGTTTTTGCAAGCTCTTTTCAACCTCACAGAAGCCAAATTGTCCCTATCACACTATATAAAATCATTAAAACTTGTCGATGAAAAAACTAACCAATTCTGATATCCACCCAACTCATTTTTCTTTTGGAATACCTGTATGTATATGATTTTATTATTCTTTTGACTCAGGCAGTTGTAATCCAATAATCCATGATAATTTTTTGTTTAATTAAAAAATTAGACTGATAAAAACTTTCAGGATACTGTTAGAAATTTAAAATACCTAAGCAAACAAAAGAAATTAAAAAAATAAACTATTTCTGAAGATTTTAAAATTAAATATTTCAAATATCGTTATTTCTATTAGACCAATTTTCACATTTTTATGCATTCTAAAATTTTAAATTCCTAACTAGGTTCAGTTTCCAACCTAAGTAATGATCTGTCTCATTATTTTCAATTTTTATTCAAATTTTGTATCATGGAACATACATTTTTACACGTATAAAAAGGTAATTTTAGGAACAAAATTATGTGATATTATAATCAAAACTTAATTTAGAGTTTGAATTCAAAAATAAATTTCTAAATATTTTTCTCTCGTTGTTGGTTTAAATATTTCCTAAAAGTTATATCATGCTGCCTATAGGTTTGCGGAACTGAGTTGCATGTCATAAGTGATATATCCAAGCCAGTTAAGCTGTACTCCAGGTAAATGCCTGACTTGCAGTAGATTGGTGGGCCAATTCCAGCACCACACCCCTAGTCAGTCACGCGACAACACTATTCCTGTCTGGATACTTAAGATATTTCTGCTCTTTAAACCCTATCCCCAATATCAAGGTCAATGATGTATAAATATAGCTAAGCTAAAAAATATAAGACTTATCACAATTGTCGGTATATATATTTTTATTATATACATATGCTTAGTTTAAAATTGTAAACTTATTTAACGTGTAGCATTTTTCTACATTCCTTAGTTAAAAGTTACACAATTACAACCTTATGATAATGAGTCATATTTCATCATCCTCGTGAGAGACTTGTTATCAAGGTTCTACTGTATTTTTTGAGATCCTTATTCTTCTACATGATCCGAGTAAAATTATTTGGACATATTAAGTCATTGTAACAAGCTCAAATGTAAAAAAGTTTTCAATAACTGTTTAGACTCTCACAAATACCTTAGTATTAATTTTCAATTGCTAAAATAATAGCTGATCAAGCTATTTAAAAATGGGATACAACACACAAAAATCGGTGTGACATTTACTAACGTGAAGATGGTTTTAATAGAGATCAAGTATATACCGGGTTTCAGAAAAAGAACTCCCAATAAATACCTCTTGATCGTATTAGTTTAAATGGATGAGTAATAATCCTTTGATGCTGTAGAGTATACCTGTAAGTTTTAGTTTCGTAAGTTAGCAATAAGTTTGTTTGTCCCCATCTAAAACCCCACTTTTTTATAATAAAGCTTTAGATTTGAAATAGGCAAAGTATTTTTAATATTTTAAACATTCAGTTTTCCCCAAAAATGAAAAAAGAAAGATTCCATACCAAGAAAAGATTTTATTAACAGTTTATTTATTAAACCACTGCCTCCAATCTCATAGATGCTCAACAATGTTTGTATATGTATGACAGCATGGGGCACATTGATTACGTCATGCTAAAAGGGTGGTGCACCGCTCCTCCTAAACCTCACTCTCTCTCTCTCTTTCTCTCTCATTCCCTCACACCCCCTGCCACCCTTAAAACTTCTCACCTCTTGCGATCCACCCCTCTTTCTCTAATTAAGTTCAAGGTCATAAAATACGCATTGTACACTTACCAGTCACATAAACAAAGTAAAATGTCCTAGTTTTCATTATGCAGACAAGGATAAAATACAGTAAAATATATTACACTATATATTGAATATCAATAATATACTGTATATTATTGATATACATGTATAAATCATAGTGAAATATGTTAACTAGTTTAGGTAAAAACTATTTGAGTGGTAGAATATTCGTCAAATGGGTTGAAAATAAAGTTATAGGCCTATCCCTAGTTGCAATCGATTTTAACATTCCCCATTAATTATCCCAAGTTACAGTTTCAACACAGATAAAAACCTCTTTAGTACTATACTATTTCAAATTCTACTCTTAACACGACAACAAAATTCAAACATTGCAACACTTCAAAACGATTACACTATACGGATTCGCAACACATCACTCAACCATGTGTTTTTCGCTGGTCAAATCAACAATGGATCAGCTGATCAACAATGCACAAACAGGTGATCGTACCTGATATACCTGAAGATCGGCGTTGGCTCCTTGGGCAAGGCTCGCTGCTAAACGTACACGTCAGCAGATCTTTCAGAGTCCCTCTCATTCTTGGCCACCCGGCCCCGCTGTAAGTACTGTGACCGGCGACACAATCTACTAGGCGTCGCGGGGAGCCGGGGTGCGCGCGCACAATCGTACCAGAATTATCGTGCGGACGCTCACGGATTATCGTGTAAATACGTGAATTTTTCGTGAATTCTCGTAATATGTTGTATGATTTTTTTTTTTTGATTAAGTTATTATTGTTTTACAGAAAAATATTATAGTTTTTCGATTTTGATTGGAGCTATAACGCAATCCATGAGCTGGGAATTTGTGTTATGTGTTTTGGATGAGTTTTTAATTTATAATTTTGTTAAAAAGGCAACGTATTTTTAGAGTATTTTGCGTTTAAGCCGAATCGGTGTGAATGAGTGTAGAAAGTAGAAGAAACCATGTGAATCAAATCAAACATTATCTTAGTAGTACAGGATTATACTTCTTCTGTGTCATCCACGAGATAACAGCTAAGTGTTCCTGTAGTTGTCCGTCTATATCGTTTAGTCTATTAAGGACATGTGGTACTGTATAAACGTAAAAACCCGGTCGTATAACATTAAAATACTACAGTATATATTATATTAATTTATTGAATTATATTATCTATGCATTTTGTATGGTATCACTTTAATACATTTGTAAGCTACATGATAAACCACAATTATTTTTAACATATAATTATATAACATATTCGAACATTATAACAGCACAGTTCACAAAAACATTCGTCTCGCTCTATTCTACACTCGTCCTCATTCATATCCAGCATCAAACATCAAGCTCGCCGCTGGAATATTTAAAGTAAATAACATAAAAAAATGTTACATCGTATTATTCTACAAAATATCACACAATCACATTAACTACGATGTTTTTCCTTTATAAGAAAAAAAATTATGGTACCGACCGAACAATTATCGTATCCCTGGCAACACTGTCGCTCAATACTGCCCGGTGTTGGGATAGGTCCATATTCAAATCCCGACTTACCCCATTCAGCACTATTTCCCCACGAGTGGGAGTAAATCGGGGTAATAAAAGCGATAAGTGTTGGAATCTAACGCTTTGATAGCGATCGTCCATTTTAATTGGATATGATCGGAGAATATTAAACCAAAATTGAATTGTAAATTAGTTAGTAACGAGACGCAGATTATTCAGTAGAAACTTCGGCGATTTGCGGATTAGAATAATAATTATTGCATAAATGCGGAAAATATTGTGTTTTGAATTATTTAAACGATTTTGAGCAGTTTAGAAATACCTTTTTATTTCTTGGGAGAATTGATTTTAAATAATTTAATATCAATGGGAAGGGTCTTGTGGTTAATGCGCAGTACTTGTGTTCATGTGGGCTGGGATCAAATCTATCCAATCGCGAAAAACTTTAGCCATAAGATAAACGGGGAAAAGCCAAGAGTGGTATACACGCTCTAGAATAACTAATACTAGAGGTCGTCCAGTGGTCGAAAACTCGACCGAAAATATCTAATGTACAAACTTCTATATTTTCACCCCACGCTGTAAATCCTACTAATATTATCCTACTAATATTATAAATGAGAAAGTTTGGATGTATGGATGTATGGATGTATGGATGTATGTTTGTGACAAGTGAACGCGAAAAATACTGGACGGATTGGGCTGAAATTTGGCATGATGATAGCTCACATTCCCGATTAACATATAGGCATATTCTTATTTCAAAAATCCTTTCGGGCTCCGCCCCAGTGGCTCTGGAGTTTCCCATTTTAACCTTATGAGAAATGGAATTATTGAATCTTAACAGCTGTTTCAATTAAACAAGTTGGTTCTGTTCTATGATGTTCAATAGCATTAAAGTTACAAGGATTACCAACAGGGTGCAGCACTATTATTTATTTTACATTTATGAAAACAGCTAATTTGCAACCAAAAGGTGAGTGAGCGTAGCGAACGAACTTCAACCTGGAGGGGAGTTAGCGTAGCGAACGAGCTAACCTGAAGGCAAGTGAGCGCAGCAAACGAGCTCCAACCTAAAGGTGAGTGAGCGTAGCGAACGAGCTCCAACCTAAAGGTGAGTGAGCGTAGCGAACAAACTTCAACCAGGACGTGATTGAGCCATAAAACGAGATAATCTTGAAAATTAAGAAGTTAAACGGGGCAAAGCCCGCGGGTTACAGCTAGTAATAACATATGATTGGAATTTCTTCCATTTGTTTAGATTTTTGTTTATATTTCGTTGTTATTTCGTCACCAGCATGGCAACCCAGAAGGTCCATGTAATTATCTTTCTAAAAGTATGTGTAGATTTTCCCTATGATGAACACGAGCTGAGAAAAAAGGTTGTAAAGAAACATGCTTGCCTATTTATACAGGGTGTTCATTTGAAAACTTTCCATATCTGTTGTGTGCAAAGGTAAGGCTTTTTACACTTGTTTGTTCTCATTTCCCCCTAATTTGGACATGCCAAATCCAATAAAATTATTTTCAGTTTCGAAAAATGCCCCAAAAGGGCCCAATTTGGGGGGTAGGGGTGCTTTTTGAGAAATTTTCAAATGTAAACATGGGTTGTGTGATACATCAATTTAAAGGTCTAATCACCCCGACTATTTTGGTGCAATAAAAATGTAATTATCTTAAACCGTATTTACAGGGTGGGTCAAAACGTTTTAAAAAAGGACTTAGAAGTTAAGTACCGTATTACCCGAACTACTGAACGGAACAGCGCCAAATTTCTTTCCAAGCTTATTCTTAATCTACTCTTTAAGATAACTTGTAATAAGGGCATTTTCCATGTTATTTTCTAATTTTTAAAAAATCTCACATTTTAAGAATAAAAGAAAGCTGAAAACTCAAAATTCTTAAATAGCAAGGTATGACAAATTTCATACCACGTGAAAGGTCCTTTTTTAACAAACATTTTACGTATTTAAGTTTTCTTTCTATCTCTTACCGTTTAAAAATCGCAGTAGAAAAACTGAATTTTCCATAGTAATATTGTAACTACTTTTCTAATAAAACAGCCAAAATTCGTCTCTAGACGCACATTTAATGGTGCATTGACTGAAGGAAACAATTCATAATTATTGATACCCTTATTGACAAACAAGTCATTACGTTTTACTTTGTGAAAAACAAGTATTTTAGCTGATGAGGACAACCTACATGTGGACCGCATTCTGTAGTACCATTGACTAGTCAATGGTAGTACTAATTTCAAAAAGTACTATTTTCTGTATTATCTAATCGAATATGGTGTACACTTAAAAAAATTGACTTTGTTTTTACTTATTGGACAGAACAAAAGTGTTTCAGGATAACTGCAAAGTGCTTAGCAATAAATATCCAGGTAAGACTTAAGTCATAAAGCTGTAAATGATTTAGTTAAGAAATTTCTGAAACTGGCTCAGTTACCAATGACAAAAGAACGGGATGAAGGGTCCAAGATGAACTGACACAAGTAAAAGTAGTTGATCAATTTGTAATTAATCATAATACATCGTTGAACAAAGTGCAATGTGTTATGTTAGAAAACTAGTTATAATTTTACCATAGAAAATTCAGTTTTTCTACTGCAATTTTTAAACGGTAAGAGATAGAAAGAAAACTTAAATACGTAAAATGATTGTTAAAAAAGGACCTTTCACGTGGTATGAAATTTGTTATACCTTGCTATTTAAGAATTTTGAGTTTTCAGCTTTCTTTTATTCTTAAAATTTGAGATTTTTTAAAAATTAGAAAATAACATGGAAAATGCCCTTATTACAAGTTATCTTAAAGAGTAGATCAAGAATAAGCTTGGAAAGAAATTTGGCGCTGTTCCGTTCAGTATTTCGGGTAATACGGTACTTAACTTCAAAGTCCTTTTTTAAAACGTTTTGACCCACCCTGTAAATACGGTTAAAGATAATTACATTTTTATTGCACCAAAATAGTCGGGGTGATTAGACCTTTAAATTGATGTATCACACAACCCATGTTTACATTTGAAAATTTCTCAAAAAGCACCCCTACCCCCCAAATTGGGCCCTTTTGGGGCATTTTTCGAAATTGAAAATAATTTTATTGGATTTGGCATGTCCAAATTAGGGGGAAATGAGAACAAACAAGTGTAAAAAGCCTTACCTTTGCACACTACAGATATGGAAAGTTTTCAAATGAACACCCTGTATATAGATACCTTATTGCAAAACTAAGGAAACACTTTTTAAGCAAAAAAAGCTGTTTTGAAAAGTTTAAAAAGTTAAAAACAACTACCCATACTGTTTCTTGAAATTATTCTCGATAAAAATATTACTTTATCATCATCATTGTTTTGTTATGTTTTAGTATTTTCTTCTTTTTCCCTCCACTAAAGGCTGACAACAAATGAAAAACAACAAATAACAAAATTACACTCACAACATTTGAACAATTAATTTTATATTTCAAAAGGATACGCTGTTATAGATTTTGATAAAGGAAACACAATTAATTGCTTGTGTAATTTCGTATGCACGCTCATCATTTACATACCATTAAATTTACCAAGCGATTGAAGGTTCAACTTAATTGCATAGTTGTTTATCAACAAACACATCGCAGTGCTGTCACTGTTAATACAGTAGTGCTGTCGACCAGCAAATATAAAACCAAATAATAAATAGTCTTTTAGAACATACTGGTATAGCATTCGTTTAGCTTTATACAACTCTTGCCATTTTTATTAACACAATTTATGTTCAGATTCATACTATTAGCAACGAATGATTAAAGGTTAAGCAAGTATTTTTTTTTTACATTTCTTACATTATAACGTTTCAATATTGGTTTTGTACTATCAGATACCATCAACCATCAAGAATTAAAATATAAATTCAATTTTTAAGTAATGGACGATATATAATCGTTCAGTAGTATTAATAGGTTAATAATTGAAGTAGCCAATTTCAATTGCATTAGTAAAGTTGCGCCTGCATTAAGTGAGTGGCAATTCAGACACTGCCTGCATATTGCCTAGATGCGCCTTGGTACTTTTTTTTTGCTCGTATCTACGCCATTGGCATTTTTGTAATGAAG